CCAGCCTCTGCCCTGACTCACTGGACACATACTTTCTGGGCACCCTGGTGGGTTCCAGCAGGCCCTGGGTGTGTGGGGACAGAGCCCTGCCCAACAGCACTGCCTGGCCTGCTGCACTGAAGTACCCTTGCAGATTTGACCTCCCAGTCCTTGGCCCAGCCTCCCTGCATCTCCCCTCCGGGATGAGAGCCCTGAGGAGTGGGAGCTGCTCCTGCCTCGTTCTTCCTGCCACTCATGCCCTGCTTGTGCCACGCAGGCCCTGGGCTGTCTCGTGTGCCAGGCTGGCCCAGCTCTTCCAGGACACCCAGTTCCCAGGCGCTGCTCAGGTTCCACCTGAGGTTCCCGGAAGCCATGGGCTGCTTTGCATAGGCACTGGGGGCTCTCCCCACCCAGACCCTGAGGAAGAGTGACTCAGCCTGGGGCCCTGAGTTTGCTGTTGGTAGTGGGTGCCCCAGCACTTCTGGGCTAGGCTGTGGCTGCTTGGGAACCTTTAGCCCCGGAGGCCGGGAAAACTGGGGAGTCTCCCCTTTACCCCACATTCCTACCCCCCCCGGGACTCCTTCTGTCCCTCCCTCACCAGGTACAGCGGCAGCAAATGTACAGGCTGGGCTTCCCCTCACCCTTCCTGGCCTGGGCAACCTGAGGTTGACTCCTGGCCCCAGGAAATGGGGGACGGGGCCTGGCACAGGCTCACCCCACTGAGGAGGGCTGGCTAGAGACCCGAGACAGCCTCAGGGCAAGGCCAGTGGCTGGAGGCCAGTGAGAGCCAGGCCAAGGCCCCAGCGTCTCGGGTTGAGAGGGCCCTTCTGTGAAAAAGATGCATGGTGGCCACACCTGCCACCCTTGCCTGTCCTGGGACACTCCAAAGAATGGTGTAAAAGTCCTTGAAAAGCAGCAGCTCCCATGCAGGGGTGGCCTCGAGGAGTGACCCCACAGTGGACAGCACCTACCTGCTCTTGCCCATCATGGCTGCTACCTCTGAGCCCACACAGGAAAGGGCACAGGCTGCAGCTGCCTCTCAGACCACCGCCACCGCATGGGATGCCGCGTGCAGGGCCTGCTCCCTCCAGCAGCTCCTGGCATCAGAACAGCCCATGGGGCCTGGTGAGGTCCGACCACAGGTTGTGGGCAGCAGGTCTTCTAGCTCCACCGGGAACCCCAGCCCAGGCCCAGCTCTAAGATGTCAGCGTGCCCAGACGGCCTGCATCAGCTGCAGCCTCTCATGGGGACAGGAACACCCTGAGCCTTGACACTCCCACCTCCCTACTGACCTGTACAGATGCTGACCTGCCCTGGGACTCTGGGGGGCTGCCCCAGCTGCTGGCCCTCATCTGCAGGCACTGCCCTGTGCCTACCACCCACTTGGTCCTGGCCCAGCTCAGCACCAGGCATCTGAACCTGAACCCAGGCACAGCAGCGCAGGAGGAGTCGGGGTGGGGGCTGCTCTTCTCCGAATCCCCTGGCTGGTTGGGTCCTTCTAGGCAGGACTCACCTCGAGGAGGGCTGGGAGAGGCAGAGCTGGACTCCCTTTCTGGGGTGAGGGGCCAGGTGGAGGGTCATTAGGCAGGGTGAGGAAGGGGACCTCCCCATCCACAGAGCCTTCACCCCAGAGGCACGATGCCCCACCCCTGACCCCCTGCCCACGTTTTTAATTTTTATTTATTTGAGAAGTAGTTTTGTTCTTATTGCCCAGGCTGGAGTGCAATGGTGTGATCTCAGCTCACTGCCACCTCTGCCTCTGGAGTTCAAGCGATTCTCCTGCCTCAGCCTCCTGAGTAGCTGGGACTACAAGCGCCTACCACTACACCTGGCTAATTTTTGGCATATTTAGTAGAGACAGGGTTTCACCATGCTGGCCAGGCTGGTCTCGACCTTGTGACCTGGTGATCCGCCCGCCTCAGCCTCCCAAAGTGCTACGATTATGGGCGTTTGAGTGGAGGTCTTGATTTTCTGAAAGCTGGGGGAAGCAGGTGGGCTCCGTGCAGGAGCGAGTTGGGAGCCACCTGGGACTGGACTTTCCGCTGGGCTGCTCTGGCAGGTAGTGAGAAGCCCCTAAGGGGCCTTCCTGGGGGCATGGCCTTGAGGGGCGTGGGCATCGCCTGTTGGTGGGTGTGGACTGAGGGACCCACGGGCGCGGACTGAGGGACCCACGGGCGCGGGGATGAGGCCAGGGACGCGGGGGGGGGGGGGGGGGGGAGGAGGACGTGGGAGAGGATTCAGGGGTCTGTGGCCTGGCGTGAGGGTCACCGGGCGTGGGCGCAGTGTCCTGGACGCTGTCCAGAGGTCCTGGGGGTGTGAGATGTCATGGGGCTGGACGAGCGGTGGTGGCTGGTGGTTGGGGAGGGCTCGGGGCGCGACTGCAGGTGGAGGAAGGTGCTGTCGGGATGGAGGGCCCCAGCGCTCCCGGGGGGCTGGGGCAGTCGGGCGGAGGGAGGCGCGGCTGGATGCGGGGCCGACGCCCTCGGTCTCAGCACCCCTCTCTCCCCAGGGCTGCAGAGGGACCCCCGAGCACCGCCTTGCCCCGTGTGCCGCGGGCCATAGCCACTCCGGTCCTGCAAGGCACGTCCTTTGTACCGCTGGGCAGGCGGAGCTGCAGCCCGGGGACCCCGTGAGCCGGGACCCATGCGGGGACCAGGACCGCGACCCGGAGTCAGGCTAGTGTCCGTGGAAACCTGTGCGGAGCCGAGGCCGAGAACACGGCGCTGTTGCAGAGAACCCGCGTCCTCGCGGGTTTTCCTGGGTGCCCCGCGCCCGGCATCCCCGCGCCCTCCCCGGCCCCTCCAAGTCGCCCTGGGGAAGGCACCAGCCCGGGGGTCCCAGGCGAATGCTGGTTCGTTCGTCGCGCGTTCGTTCAAGTCTTGGCGCCACCCAGGCTCTCCCACCCGCGTTTCCTCCCATCTGGGGCCCAGCGTGGGCGCTGAGGGAGACCCCAGGGTTGGCCGTGCGATCCCTTTGCAGTTGAGCTTCTTGGCGCACGGGAGGTCAGTGGGCCATGTGGCCGTGCTGCCCTGGAAACCCAGACAGGGAAAGACTCCCCCTGCCACCCCAGGCCTCATCCAGGAGGTGGCTGGGGCCTGCCTGTGAGTCGGTGGCCTGGTTCTTCATGGATACTGAACGGGGCCAATCCCGCAGCCCTCAGAGCCAGCGCCAGAGCCCCCATCCTCGGGTTGGACAGGGTGGCCAGGCCGGGGCAAGGGCCTGGCTTCACCATCCTTCCTGGGCCTTGGGACCAGCACCAGCCACACCCCATGGGCTGTCCCCACACGATGTCACTGGCTACTGGCTGCCTGCAGCCCCTGCCTGCGTCATGGTGCTGGGAGGACGCCTTCAGGCAACTGGGTGTCATGGTGGGGGGCCTGTCCTAGGGAGGCCTGGAGACAGAGAGATTCGGGTGCGAGGGGCCCGGGGCGGGAGGGACATTTGTCCTTTCTCAAGGATCCTGCTGGCCGTGCCCATGGACGTCGCCTGGGACACCTGCCATGGCTCAGCAGCCCCCCGGATATAAGGAGGGCTGGACGCCAGGCTGACGGGCGAGGCCCAGCGGCAGTATCTGTCTTACAGCCCAGCCAGCATGGGACAGTGGGTGACAGAGACTGTCCTGGGCCACCTCCAAATGTACCCGCCTGCTGACCATGCTGTGGCATGGAGGCCAGCACCGAGCACTCTGCAAGGTGCCATGGCCACAGGCACACTGTGGGTGGGGGGTGCTCAGCCCCATGGACTCTGCCCAGCAGTGACTGCATAAGTTCCAGCCCATGGAGGTGGGGGCAGGGCCGAGGTGCTGGCCCAGGAGGCAGGGAGGTGGGCAGTGGGCGGTGGCAGAAGGGAGGGAAGGGTTCATAGCCATGGCAGGCCCCTGCCGCCTTCCGTCCCCTGGGACCCAGCCCCAGAGTTTGCTTCCCAAGCTCCCTCCTGATGCTCCCCGAGCCCACGGGGTGAGGCCCACGGCCTCTCCCAGTCTGGGGGTCCTGTGGGTATTCCAGGCAGAACACCCCAGTTATACACTCCCTCCATCCCCCACCACACACACATGCACGTGTGTGCACACACACATATGAACACACATGTGCACGGACACACACACACACGTGGGGCAGGAACAGAGGCAGGAGCTTCTGTGCTGCCGAGACATAGAGATTGGGCTGGACACAGGGACTCTGGCCCTGTCCAGGAAGAGAAGAGCCAGGTTGCCCAGAACCACACCCTGGTTCTCTCCAACCCCCTGCCCTGGCTGGAGGCAAATGGGAAGCAGTGAGCTTCTGCCCAAAAACTTTCCTACGCATTGGATGCTCCAGATAAGAAGAGGACTCAGAACAGCTGCCTGAGCAGAAGCTGAGCCCCAGAGTTCCCAGCCTTGGGGGCTGCCCTCTGGAGTGGGGGACCTCACAGTGAGGACCGAACGGGGGGGTGGCCTCTCGCATCTGGAGGGGAGGCGAGGGATGAGGACTTGGGGTGGAGTCTCAAGTCCCAGGAGAGGGCTCTCCCTTAGAGACCGGGGCTGAAGCCAGGAGCTCTGGGGTACCAGTGCCCAAGACAGATTCTGCCTCGCCTTTGCTAGCCCAGCCAGCTTTCCAGGGCCCTTGTCTACTGCCCCGGCCTCACGAACGCCTGAAGGGCGTGCACATAGGCGATGCCTTGATCCCACTGGCCTGGAGCTATCTCTGCTCCAGTGGCCGCCCCGTGGGGAACCCCATTAGGGTGTTTTGGGACTCCAAAGACCTCAAGGTTTCCGGATGCTTCCTTTGGAAACCTAGAAACTCCACGAGTGTCGGGCCACAGTCTCACGGCCCCGGGTGATGGAAAATCTCCCGGCTGCTGTCCGTAAAGGGAGCCCTGTTTTGCCAGGAGGGGGTGTGTCCACTTGCTCCTGCTGTGAGGAGCAGCCTTCTCTCCTCTGTTCGTCTTTGGGGCTGGAGCTGCAGGGTCGGCTAGGAGCCGCTGCCACAGGGCACCCTGCAAACTTGCCCCACTCATGTCCACAGTCTCCAGTGGGAGCTGTCACTGCACAGCCAGATGCTGGCTGGGCAAGTACTTGTGTTCCTCGGCCTGACCTGGGGCACCTTCCAGAGCCTGGCCATCCCCAGGATTGAAGAATGTGGCCTCTCCTGTTCTCAGGTAAGCTCCCGCCTCCTCCTAGGCCCCTACACTGTGGCAGATGAGGCCCTGGTTTCTCCTCAGGTGGGTGCGGCCTGATGCTCTCAGCACATGGACAGGGGCAGGTGAGGGGTTGGAGGGCCTGGGGGCCCCTGGCAGAGCTGGTGAAAGGAGGCTGGGAGACCTGGCCTGACCCTGCCGAACTGCCCTGGGAAGTGTTTGCTGGAAGCTCAAGGCAGGGTGAGCCCACCTCCCACACACCTGTGACCTCCGAGGAGGCTGTTAGAATCTAGGGCAGCGCGCAAGCCCATCCCGGGCTCCCCACCCCACACCCCAGGCTGCTCTGAGCCATCAGGACCCGGCAGCGGCACACAGGCTTGGGTAGACACCTGCCAAGGAGACACTTGGGGAACGGGGAACGTCGGGAGAGTGAGATGCTGGCAGTGGAGGTGCCTGGGGGGTGGGGTGGTGGGTGCTCCCGTTTCAGGGCCAGCTGACTCAGCCTTACAAGAGAGGGCGTTTCATCACCTGCAGCAAGAAGTGTACCAGCCATCCTAGGAAGGGGCGCCGGTGCCCAAGGCTGGCCGAGGCACAGTGGGGACACAGGTGTGGAAAGAGCCCGGAGGGGGTCCCGGGAAGGGGGAACTGACTGAGGACCTGCTGGGTGCACCGTTCCTGGCGTGGGGACAGCAGACAGCAAGATGTGCCTTTAGGGTGGTGGCCTGGTCACCTCAGGGGACTCAGGACACCAGCAGCTCCACAGGGCCTGAGATGGGTCCAGCAGCGGGCTCAGGGAGGGGAGGGAGCGGTGGTCGTGGGTGCCACAGGCAGGCTCAGATTCACGGGGCATTCGTGGCACAAGGAAGAACGCAGGCTGGGATGCGTGGGGGCCGGTGGGAGCATTCAGGTGGGGAGAGGTGTTAGCCGGATTCCCTCCTGCAGGGGAGATGGAAAACAGGGAGGGACAGGACTGGGGGTCCTGGCTGGGGGGAGGGACAAGAAATGAGGGTTGAGACTCAGGTGACTTTTGCCTGTCGGGGGTTGGAGGAAATGGTTCCTGAGTTGGGAGACCTGGGGAGGCAGCCTTGAAACATGAGCTGGAGAGCCTTACGGAGGCAGCTGTGGGGTGTGCCTCCCGGTGCCAGGGGAGTGATAGGGCTGTCCCACATGGCTATGGGCAGGGTGACCCCGGGGGGCGGGTGGGGACCAGGACTGAGCCCTCCCTACTGCAAGGAAAGGGACAGGGGCTGAGGCAGGCGGAAGAGGCGAGGAAGGAGGGGGACAGCTGCAGGGGAAGGGAGAGGAGGGGTTCGCAGGGCTGAGGAGGGTCTCATGGAAGATGGGTGGGGAGGGCTGACCAGGAGGGGTCAAGGGTTGAGAGGAGTGGGAATCCGGAGGTGGGTGTAGGGGCGCTGCCCGGGGCAGCCTTAGGCCAGGTGGTGGATTCGAGGGGGCATGGGAGCCCCTGTCCGAGGGGGGAAGCCTGGGAGAGGAGACCGGGGCTAAAGCCAGCCTGGGGGAACCTGCTCAGGTGGGGGCAGGAGACTGGGCCCGATGCTGGGGACCTCAAGGGGCGGGGACCACATGGGGCCAAGAGAAGCCACCCTGGGGGTTCCCAAAACACCCCCGACGTTTGGCAGCTGGGAAGCCCCGAGAAGCACAACGGAAAACCCCGTAGCCGGGAGGCGCCCAGAGCCCAGGCTCAGCCCCAGCTCCCCCCAATCCCCCACAGCGCGCCCAGGGCCCAGGTTCAGCCCCAGCTCCAGCTCCCCCCAATTCCCCACAGTGTGCCCAGAGCCCAGGCTCGGCCCCAGCTCCCCC